ATAGTTGTTTTACATTGTTGTGCCCTCTGTGATTTCTGATCATAGTAAAACTGCTTGTGCTTTTTGGTACCTTTTTTAATTACCTGAACATAACTCATTTTCTTGGACTTTTGTGAAGATTTTTCTGGGGGTGGAGTATATATCTTTTATGGAATAAATACACACCTATTGCTGCTTGACTTCTCAGTGCCTTCTGCTGATTTTTGTTTGTGTTGTTTGATTACTCTTTTGGGGCTGGGGGTGGTTGTGGACAATCCAGGGAGAAGGTAGTTTGTTGTTTTTGTCACGCTTTGGACTGTAGGCCTCCACTGTATTGTACATTGTCATCCTTGTACCAAGATTGGAGGTTATGGCTTGTAAAGGAAGGAAATCAGATCTTGTTTTCTTTGTTAACTGAATTACCTCCTGTCTTCTTTTGGTAACCCAGCCGCCTTTTCTACATATTTTTGTAGTCTTTCAATATGCACACTCTTTTAAAATTTTTTAGTTGGTAAAAATGTGTGAAATGAACGCTCAAAGTTCCATCGCCTAATTGAATCAGATTTAGTGGTGTGAACTTCTGTTCTCCATTTGTCCGTTGTATCCAGGCCTTTTGAGTTTCAGCTTAAAGAAAAAGGGCGGATTACTAGAAGCGTCTCTGGTGATTGAAAAATCATGTGTTTGCTCAGAATGAGTGGGCTGGGTTAACAGTAACACCTGTTGACTTAATAGGGAAAGGCCATATCTAGGAATTTTTGTCATTTTTGGTTGACGCTTGGTAAACCAGCATCATGTGTTTGCTGACATAACTAGCAAACAAGGTAACAGTGACCTAGGTTCCCCCAAAGTACTGTACAGAAAGAGAAATGATAGTCACTTGTTAGCGGAAAAACATTGGGCTAAACTAGTTCCAAGGAACCTGTGACTTCTTTGCTGAAGGCTCTTTGTTTTAGGCATTTGACGAAGCGATTGCTGAATTGGACACGCTGAATGAAGAGTCTTACAAAGACAGCACCCTGATCATGCAGTTGCTTAGGGACAACCTCACTGTAAGTACTGCTGATTCCATGAGTGCTTCTGGAGGGCTTATAGCTTATTCCCATTCCTCTACCTCGTAATTCACTCTTGCCTAAGACTCAAGAGGGGATTTGTACCCTGTAAGTGTAGTTACGTTTTTTAATTGGTTATAAATGCCTACTGAAGTTTTGACCTTTGCCATCACTGTCTGCAGTAATATAGGAAGAATTTTAAACAGTTGAATGAGATGAGATGATCACACACTGGGCCACCTCCCTGAGGAAGCTTTTAGTAGCCCCACTTTGTTAATAGCTCTGTTTTTCTTTTGCAGCTGTGGACGTCGGAAAACCAGGGAGATGAAGGAGATGCTGGGGAGGGAGAGAACTAATGTCTGTCGTGCTTTGTGATTTCTTCAGTGTCACTCTGTACCCTCCACGTATATCCCTTTGTGCGATAAAAAAAAAAAAAAAAAAGAATCGTACGTCGACTTTCAGTTTTTCACAGCCTCAGCCTAGCAAAAATGGTCCATGGGATAAGCAGCTGGTATTTGTATCTAAAACTCAGATTGGTCACATAAATGCCACGGCATTCTGAAGTTTTGATTTTGATGAACATTGACAGGATTACTGTGTGTTTAATTTTTTAAAAAAAACTGAACACTGTGATTATGGGGTTTTGTAATTTAGCAGAACTCTTACTGGTAGAAAACAAAATAGACCTGAATTACGTGTAACTTTTTGGAAAGTTTAATTCAATTCAAAACAGTCAGTGAAACACAGTTCCATTGTAAAGTTGTACAGAAAGTTATAGAGATTATATTGTGACACTGGGACTTGGAGTGAGACACCTCTAGTTTGGCATTCGAGTTTCATGGTAATTCACAGTGATTCTGCCTGTTCTCTTCAGGGCTTGTAGACACTTGACCCGTTGGGGCTGTTGCCACTCAAAGGTTCATGACTGCGGATGGCCGCAGTGTCTTCCTCTGAGGGTAGTCGAAGCCAGAAATTAACATTCTTGGTGGCAGATACCTGGCTTAGGACACCATGCAGAGGTCCAGTGCTCACAGGCCACACGTGATTCCAGCCCCTTTCCTACAGCAGCATGTTACTGATTGGCAACTTGTGCTTCCATAGTGGAATCTGTTTTCCCTGTAACCACGAGCTCAAGAAGGAAAAAAAAAAAAGCCGTGTATCTTATGAATGGCCTTATCTGTTTCCTGGGTAACATCTTTAAGAATAATGTTCTGCAGAGACTGCCTTTCACTTGAGGAGTAAGTACTCAGTCTTGAGGTTCTTCCTGGCTCGGGGCTTTAAAATTTTGAAATCTAAACATTCTTTCCCACTGTCCTTTTTGACTATTGACTTTGGTTTTCTCTTCTCTCTCTCAGTTTCTGTCCTTCAGCTTCCTTACATTGTTTTCTTTGTGCATTCTCTTTCTCTTTGCCTTTTGCTCACTGTTTAGTACTAGACGAGCAGGGACAGGGGACCTGGAGGGGGTGAGGGACGTTGATGAGCACTTCGGTGAGCCAGCCTTGCTTCAGAGAGTTGAAAAGAGCTTCCCGCATCTCAGCTCTGTCTTCTTCCAGTTCTCAGAACGGTGGTTGCTCTTCAGTCACACCAAGATCTGACTCAAAAAAGTATTTTTAACTATCCATGGTTTCTCCTTACATTGCAGCCAGCCCTGATGATGCTTGTTAGCACCTGTCACCAGCTCTCCCAAGTGTACCCATCCTGTCAAGTTCACAGACACGTTTCAACAAGACCCTGTAATGCAGGGAAGTTGCATGAACACTGCGATGGGGAGAGTTGGGAATAGCCAGGCCTACCAGTCTCACAGTATCCCCCCCCTCCCCTGAACATTCCCCATAGCCGTACTGTCCATCTGTTTGTCCATCTGCTGAAATGAGAAACATTCATGCACTGATTTCAAACAAACCAAAAGGAAAAAAAAGAAAAAAAAATCCCTCTCCTTTCTAGCTGAACAAAAATGTGCAGTTAATACTTGGCGCTTGAAAACGCAGTAGTGGATGTGGAACGAGCCTGTCTGTGTATCTGGTAGCTCTCTCTTGCTTTGTTTTTCCTCACCAGTATTCTGCCTCACGTTTGCTTCTGTGATGGTTATATTGCCTAGCAAGCACACCTGTGGTTGTGAAAATAGTATAGCAAAAAAGAAAAAACCCCGGTTATTGATGTACTCGATTTGTGTATGTCTTTTAAACAGTTCTAGTTTCCACCTTACACGGAATAATCAGGAAAAGTGTAAAAACTCAAAAGTGAAATAAAAAATTTTATCAGTTAGTTGGCCTGTGCATTGATGTGTGGCGCCACCTGTATCACCACCAGAACTAGCTAACTGTTCTGATCACACTTATTTAGGGCTCTCCTCCTTAAAAGGAGGGAGCAGCTTCATTTCATCCTTCAGAACCAGAAGTCGAGGGCCTGGGAAGAAATTGCCATGAATTAACACAGAGCCTGTCCACCTTCCACACAAACCGTCCAGGTGTTAGGTCCTCTCTGTGGCTTCTAAGACTTGATATGGACTGTTAACTTAGCATCCCACTCACACAGCACCACCACCACTTCCTCTTTTTTAAACAACTCTGAGATGTACCCAAGCCAGTGAGGGATGGTAGCGTAAGTCCTGGTCATCTGCAAGGTTATACGAGTCTCCCACCTGTCCTAACACTGTCTAAGATAGCCCGTGCCACCGAGATTCCTCATGGGATTTGCCCCCATCTAAAAACATCCACATTGGGAATTCCCTGGTGCTCCAGTGGTTAGGACTTTGCGCTTTCACTCACAGGGCCCAGGTTCGATCCCTGGTCAGGGAACTAAGATCCTGCAAGCCACAGGGTGCAGCCAAAAAATAAATAAATAAATACAAATAAAAACGTCCACATTCCCACAAGGATCGGGGAGGGGGTCATGACAGGGAGGTATTTAAGCCCCAGATTAGAATTGGTTGTTAACTTTCTTGCTAGTATAGGCGGGGCAGCCAGACCCACTTCTGCTCCTGGCTCCCAAGCTGTTCCACCTGTCGTGCCCAACCAGAGGTCAGTGGGAAGCTACCTGTTCTATTGAAGCAGGAACTAGGAGGGGCCCAGTGAAGTATCCGTCCACAGTGGACTGGACCAGTTTCTTTCAAAAATGACCCTACACCACAGATTGGGGCTGCAAACTAAGATTGAGGGAGGGGTCTTGGTGCTTGGTTTGGGGCCACTGCCGTGACCTTGTTCTGTTAGGCCCCTACTGTTTCCGTAGAGGCTGGGCCCCGAAGAACTTGGTGAGCCTTCGTGGTGGAGCGCAGGTGGAGTGGATTCGTTGAGAAAGGTGCTCAGGATACGTTCCACAAAAAGGTCTTGGCAGTAGAAGAACCAGGGTCAAGAAAGGCCTTCGTGGCCTACAGTTCTCACACGGAGCCTTCGGCCCCAAACCACCAAGCCGGTTCGAGAAGGCTGGGACTAGATCCGGACTGTCTTGAGAGAAAGCCTCCTCTCAGGAGGGTAGGTATGCAAGCTTTGAAACAGGGCGTCCTGCTCGCAGTTCTCCCGTTTGTGTGTGAAACGTGCAGAGAGCACACGCTCGCCTTTGATCCTTGTGTAAAGGGAACCCTCCTAACTTCACGGAGAAGGGAAACGGGCGCAGGAGATCAATGACTAATGGGGATTAGAACCCAGGTCTCCTACCGTGGTAGCCCCGCCCTCTCTGCGCCGGTGGCGCCGGCTCGGAGCTCCCCCCACGTACCCGCAGCCCTACCCGGGGCCAGGTGAGGGCTCTCCCCGCCTCCCGTCGCGGGGGCAGAGATGCCCCCCACCTGGGGCTTCTAGAAGGCTGAGGGGTCCCAGGTGCGGGGCGGGGTCCGAGCGCGCCCGCGATTGGCGCGCGGGGCGGCGGGGGAGGTAAAGGCCAGGGGCAGAAGGGGGTGGGAAGAACCCGGCCGCCCCGCGCGCCCCCGCTGCCGGGGTGAGCGCACGTGGGCGCCGAGCGCGGGGCCGCGCGCCCACCATGAACTCCAGCGGCCCGGGTTACCCGCTCGCCTCGCTCTACGCGGGCGACCTGCACCCCGACGTGACTGAGGCCATGCTCTACGAGAAGTTCTCGCCCGCTGGCCCCATCCTGTCCATCCGCGTGTGCCGCGACGTGGCCACCCGCCGCTCGCTGGGCTACGCCTACATCAACTTCCAGCAGCCGGCCGACGGTGAGCCCCTGGGGGAGGGGGGCGGACCGACCCACCTACAGACAGGCAGACAGCATCCCAGCCACCCGCGCGCGCTTTCATCTCTGGCTAATCCTGCAAAATCTTCCATTTTGCAGCCCGGGAAACTGAGGTCCAGAGATACAAGGCCTAGGAAGGGGCTCCGAAAGGCCCCGGAGACAGGAACTAGCAGTTAGTGTGCTCCTACTGTGTTTTACTGGTGCTCCGTTTTCCGGAAGAGCTGTTAAGACAGTGAAAACAGCCAAGGGCTTTGGGGTCAGCCAGACCTGGGATTAGAAAGCCGGCAGCTGTGCGGCTTTGAGCAAATGAATCATTCCGAGCTTCAGTTGCCTGTCTGCGAAATGGGGGAGGTACCTGCTTTATAGCGTGATCGGAGGATGAGCAATTGAAAGCACCCGGTGAGGAAGATGCCCGAGAACACACGGGTGATGAGCGGGGCAGCCGCGAGAGCTCAGCCTCGGGCTGTGGCCTTTCCCGGCAGCCGGAGCCGAGGTCTGCACCAGGCGCCTCCACCTTCGGGAACCGAGAAAAGCTGCCTGCGCTCCAGGCTCCACGACCCGTTTCTCGGAGCTGATAGGATTGATCAGAGCTTGTCAGCTAGATGTTGAGTGGAGAGGAGAGAGATTAGAGCGCAGGGTTTTGTTGGAGCTCTGCCACTAGGGTGCGAGCTTGAGCAAGATTTCAGGCTTGGCATCTCCATCTGTAAAGTGGGGCTAAGCCTTATTACCCAGTAGCATGGAAGGAATGGAGGGCTTTGTCTATGAAGTAGCTCCAGTATCACGTGGTACATCGTAAGCCCTCGGTAAGTGCTAACCCAAGAAAAATCATAATAACTATAGCGTTCAGGTGTAAGACTCCAGAAATATAACCAAAAAACCCCTGCCCCAGCCAAGTCCAAAAGGGGGTGCCTATACTCTGAGTCTCCTGGGAGGATGGGGAGGTTCCCTGATCTGGGAGTTTGCTGTGATGGTTCTGCCGGTTTCCCAGCAGGTGGCAGAGCTGGATTCCTGGGAGCCTTCCCCTCTGCTCTGCTTTACCCACCCACTGCCTCTTGCCATCTTCCTCCAAGCCCTGTGCAACCTGACCTTTTTGCCAGACTTCATAGATGGAGAAACTGAGCTCCAGACAGCAGAAGGATTTTACTCCTGGGTGTTTATGGCAGGACTAGGTGGAAAACCCAGACTTCTTGAAACTTGCCCCCTGAGTATTCCACAGTTCCCCTCCAAACCCTCTGAAACCAGAGGTGTCCCTGAAGCAGGGGACAGCATACCACCTTGCAGAAGGATGGGCATAGGCTGTTGTTTTTAGACATACTACTGTTTACCAGACACCTATTTTGTGCCAGGCACAAAGTACAAGGCGCCTTGCACACCTTATTTAATTTTCAGTCTGTCTGACAACCTGGAGGCAGGTGGTATTCTCTCCCTTTGTTAGATTTAGAAAGGTGGGTAATATTATCATCACCCCCTCTTTACAGGTATAGAAGTGAGCTCAGGGAGGTGATGTTCACTTCCCCGAAAGTCATACTTCCTTGGGATCAAATCTCAACTCTGCTGCTCAGCACCTCTGGGCTTCAGTTTCCTCAAACTGCTGCCACCCTTGTCATAGGGACCCTCCTGATCTTTCCCCTTTCTGAGCCTCAGTTTGCCCTTCTGTAAAATGGGGATAGGAATTCCTGCTCACGTCATTATGGTGAAGAGTTGAAGGAGATCCTACCTGGAAGGTGGGAGGAGCACCACACACATGAATTCTTTCTGTTTATCCCTCCTGAGCCTTCAAGCTCTTATCCCAAGTGAGACCCAGACAGTGGCTCTTTTCTTTTTTTCTTTTTTGGCTCAGTTCCCAACTACACTCCTTGGGGCTCAGGGAAAGAAAATCCCCTTCACTAGCTCCTTTCTCTCCTCTTGTCCAGCGGAGCGGGCACTGGACACAATGAACTTTGAGGTGATCAAAGGCCAGCCCATCCGCATCATGTGGTCCCAACGAGACCCAGGACTTCGCAAGTCAGGTGTCGGCAACATCTTCATCAAGAACCTGGAAGACTCCATTGACAACAAGGCCTTGTATGACACCTTCTCCACCTTTGGGAACATCCTCTCTTGCAAGGTGGGTGTGCCTCTTGGGGGGGGGGGGCGGTTCTGTGTTAGACACCTGTGTGGTGGTAGAGGGATACCAAGCAGCACCTCATCGGTAAAGATCCAGGTTCAGCAAGCACCTGAATGGTAGTTGCTCTCAGTTTTAGCGGTCACCTAAACTGGCTCTTGCTGTGTAACCACCTCCTAACTTCGTGGCTGTCAACAGCTGTGATTTATTCCGCTCGTAATTCAGCCGTTGGCGGTTGGGACTGAGCTCGGCCGAGCAGTTCTTCTGCTCTTGGCTGGGTTCCTTTGTTTGCCCACTGAGGGCTGGATGGCTCTGCTTCTAGGGAGTGGGTGGTTGTCAGCTGGACGGTCTCGGCTTTCCTCCCTGTGGGCTTTCATCCTCCAGCAGGCTAGCCCAGGCTATTCTCATGGCAGTAGCAGGGTCCCAGGAGACAGAGTGGAAGCTCGCCTGGCCTTTTGAGACCTAGGTTCAGAACTAGCACACTGTCATTTTGTTGCGTTCTACTGGCCAAAGTAAGTCATGAGAACAGCCCAAATTCAGAATGAGAGGGCAGTAGAAATTATAGGACAAAGCAAGTAGGTACAGGAAGGCCATGATGGCAATGGACCAGACCTTGTCTGTAACATTTCTCTTACAATAGAACGGAAGTTTCCTAGGAGTAGGGATCTTGTTCTTATTCACCACTGTATCCAAGTACCTGAGATGTGAAAACATAGTAGGTGCTCAATAAATATTTGTTGAGCTAATGGCTGTATTATCATTTGGGAAGGGCTGTGATCATTTCTCTGACTTTGTAGTTGAGGGTCAGGGGCCATGCAGCATATCAGTCTGTCCTGACAGGGCTTAACCCTGGGTGTTTTGCCCGCTAGATTTTATAAGGGGGGCTGGTCAGTTACCCTGCAGCCTTTGGCATGTCCAGCCTTCTGGGGAGGCAGCAGGGGGGATGGGGAGTGATGGCACCCTCTGTGTTAGAACTCTTCCTTGACTCCTACTATGTGCCAGGCACAGTCCTGCAGTTCTCAAGTGAGGCCTCACCACCTCCCTGTGAGTGAGGGGATATCCCTGTGACTCAGAGGGGCAAACAGACTGGAGGAGGTGCAGTAGCTGCGAAGGGCATGCCATGATAGACAGAAAGGGCTGTTTCCTGTCTTTGAGGATCAATGGAAAAGAGAGAGAGTCTTAACTGTGTGCTAGGTTCTTACAGCGGTAACAGCAGATTTATCCAGAACTTTCTATGTGCTAGATTTTCTGCATACGCATCCTCACTGAATTTCCCAAAATGGCCTCTTGAGATGCAAATAGGAGGACCCCGGAGTTACCCTGGAGGGCAGAGAGGCTCAGAGTTGGGGTTACTTGTTCACAGTTATATATTATAGGGGTGGGAGGTCAGTGGCCAAGGCAGGATCTGAACCAATGGGTTTGCTGGCTTAGCTGAAGCTAACTTAACAGGGAAGAGTATGTCTGTCCCCGTTATCCAGGCCTTGAGGCTTCCACTGAGGATTGGACAGAAAGTTCTGTGAGACTTGGGCAAGTCTTTGCAGGCCTAATGAAGCCCTGTTATGGGCCTGGTTAGATACAAGGCATTCAGCGTGGTCCGTTCCCCTGGTGTTTGCTTTTAGGTTTTATGAGGACGGCTGGTCAGTTACCCTATAGCCTCTGGCGTGTCCACCCTTCTGGGGAGATGGCAGGGGTAGGGGGAGAGGTTGGGAGTGATGGCACCCTCTGTGTTGGAACTATTCCTTGCGTGCTACCAAGTGCTCTCAGGCTGGTTGGAGATGGTGAGACTTTTAGGAACAGCTGGACATTGGGCTCTGAGGGGAATGCATGGGGATCCGGGGAGTCAAAGACCCAGAAAGGAGCGTGCCCTGGGGCTGAGGAAAGGTTTCTGAGGCACTGTGGAACTCCACTAGGCTTGGGGTCACGCCACTCAAGTTCAAAGTTCAGCCCAGCCTACCGAGCAGAGAGCCAGCATGACATAGTCAGCCAGACCTTGGACCTTGGGGCCAAGTGTCCTGGGTTCAAATCCTGCCTCTTCCACTTCCTGGCAGTGTGGCCTTGGGCTGGTTGTTTAACCTCTCCATACCTCAGTTTCCTCTATAAAAGGGGGCAGTGGTAGAACCTACCTCTTAGGGTGGCTGTGAATGTATATTAACTCACATAATCGTCACAATACAGATAGCCCTTGAAAGAGTAGCGAGCATCTCATTAAGCGTCTACAGGAATCAAATAGTTACTTCTGCTGGCTGACCTCGGACAAGTCATTTATTCCCATTTTCCCCAGTTGGGCAGCTGGGGCTCAGAGGTTAAGAACTGCCTGGAAGGGTTCTGATGACAAATATAACAGTATGTGATGCCCTTAGCGGGTGCTTGGCACAGAGTGGAACCCAGTCAATGTGATTAAATCTGAGTGACAGACCTGGGCTTGAGTTGAAAGCAGAGGGACCCTGCTTGGGGCTGGAGGGGTGCGTGTTGGGTGTGGACTTGGAAGCAGGACTTGTGAAGGGCCAATTGGAGAGCCTCAAATGCCAAGCTGGTATAGTTCTGTGGATTATAGGAGCTACTGGAGATTATTTCCCAGAGGGACATGCTCACAGTTACATTTTGGAAAAAGCGTCCCAGTGGTCAGCCCAGAAGCTGGGTTGGGAGGCTGGGGTGGTGTTCGAGGCAGAAAATGTCACTTAGTTGAGCCGGGGCGGTGGCTGCAGGGATGAGTGGAGCCGTGGACCCCATGAGATGGTCATTAGGGCTCTTAGTGCAAGTTCAGCCAGAGGGACAGGAACTCTGTGAACTGAAGATCTTTCCCATTCGTGAGGTCTGTCCTAACTTGAGTCGGGAGCCCTACAGAATGGGGGTAGTATGTTTGTGGGTCTTTTCAAAATTTGAAACAAGTTTGCTGTTGAAATAATAGATTAATTGGTAAAGTTTAAACAACCTGGAAAGGAATAAAGTAAAAAAGCTTTCGTCGCTTTCAACTCTAGTTCCCGGAAATAATTATTAACAGTTTTGTGTGTGTGTGTTTTAAAAATTTCCCTGCCAAAATATGGAAGCAACCTAAGTGTCCATCAATGGATGAATGGATGAAGATGATGTGGTTTTATATACACAGTGGAATACTACTCAGCCATAAAAAAGAATGAGATTTTGCCATTTGCAGCATGTGGATGGACTTGGAGGGCACTATGCTAAGTGAAATAAGTCAGACAGAGAAAGACAAACACTATATGATATCACTTATATGTGGAATCTAAAAATTACAGCAGACGAGTGAATATAATAAAAAAAGAAGCAGACTCACAAATACAGAGGACAGATACAGAGAACAAACTAGTGGTTACCAGTGGGGAGGGGGACGAGGGGCAATATAGGGGACGGGGAGTGGGAGGTACATACTATTGGGTTTAAGATAGGCTCCAGGGCTTCCCTGGTGGCGCAGTGGTTGAGAGTCCGCCTCCTGATGCAGGGGACACGGGTTCGTGCCCCGGTCCGCGAGGATCCCACATGCCACGGAGCGGCTGGGCCCGTGAGCCATGGCCGCTGAGCCTGCGTGTCCGGAGCCTGTGCTCCGCAATGGGAGAGGCCACAACAGTGAGAGGCCCGAGTACCGCAACAACAACAACAACAAAAAAGATAGGCTCCAGGATGTATTGTACAACACAGGGAATCGAGCCAATATTTTGTAATCACTGTAAATAGAAAGTAACCTTTTAAAAATGGTATATAAATTAAAAAAAAAATAACCATCCCACACTTTCTCTCTTCCTGCTTTCCTTCCTTCCTTCTTTCTTTCCCCTCTCTTCCTCAATTTCTCAATCTTTCTCTATTTCTTTGTCTCTCTCGCTCTCACTTTCCAAAAGTTTCCCCTAAATATGTATTTCTTGTGTTAGCGGAAACACAATTGAATGTTACCAAAAAATGCCAAAAGGTTTCTCAAAAGCATAGATGCCCACTTTAACCCAAATGGGCTTGATTTTTCCCCCCACTTAACAGTATACCTTACAGGTAACCCTGCCAGCCGTGAAATCTACCACATTCTCTTCAACTATGCACATACAGCAGACCAAGATGAATATACTGTAATTTACTTAACCAGTCTCCTCTTGATGGATCTCGGGTTGTTTCTAACTTGCAGTTAGAAACAAAGATGCAGAAAGGGGGGAAGGTGGCTGGAATCTAATCCTTTTATCCATCGCTTTAGGAAGGTCATTAAAAGCTGGTCTGTGGTATAGATGAGATCTGCGTTCAGTTTGAGGACTCTATCCCTCCTTACTGTGTGATCTTAAGCGAGTAGATTGACCTCTTTGAGCTTTCGTTTCCCATCTCTAAAATAGGGCTGTTGTGCGAGATAGGATTGTCTTCACAGGCACAGAGCGAGCACTCAGATATTAGTCATTATTGCCGTTGCCATCCTTTTTCTCAGTTGGATGCTTTTCATGTCCTGTTTCCCTGTGGCCCAGGTAGTGTGTGATGATCGTGGCTCCCGAGGCTTTGGCTTTGTGCATTTTGAGACCCACGAGGCTGCACAGAACGCCATCAGCACCATGAACGGGATGCTGCTGAATGACCGCAAAGTGTGAGTGGTGGGATGTGGGTGGCGCCAGGGCTAAAGGAGCAGAATCCTGGTACCACCACCTTAGGACCCATAGTACTGCCACCGTCTAATGGGCGCCTGGCACTGAGCTATTCTTCCTGGCAGTATGACCTCGGACGTGTTGCTCAATCTCCCAGGGACTCCCTTTCCTCAAGTAAAACATGGGGCTGCTGGTATGCGTTAGAGGAGTTCTGAGTAGCAAATGGGGCGATGCTTTAGAAATTCTAGCAGGAACAGCTAATGGCCAAATCATCAGTGGACAGAGTGATTTTTGTCTGTTTTCCAGCCTTCTCAGCATGGCGGTGAATTTTATTAAACCTTTTGTTTCCCGAGATCTGGGGACAGGAAGGAAGGTTGGCATATGCTTAGCCTGCCATTTTCATGCCTTTAAGTTTGGCATCATCCCCACTTCACAGATGGGAAAGTTGAGGTGCAGATGCTGGAGAGAATCTGCTCTGGCCGTTGCCTCCCCCAGTTCTGGTTCTGCCCATCAGATGGCCCAGCCCCATGCCCGAGACTGAGCAGTGGAGGAAGCTTTGGGGTGGGAGATGCACCCAGAGCCATTTTATCCAGAGTTTCTCAGGGTAGCCTCCTGTCAGTGAACCAGAACTTTGGCGGGCTTTTCCCAGTTCTCCAGAAGTGTGTTTCTATCTTTGTCAGCTTTCAGTTTGCCTGTTTTCCTTTGTCACTCAGCTTCCTTCCATTTTTGGTGTCACCTATATCTCGTTTGTGCTAAATGTCTTATATCAGGGGTCCCCAACCCTCGGGCCGCAGACCGGTAGTGGTCTGCCGCTTGTTAGGAACCGGGCTGCACAGCCGGAGGTGAGTGGTGGGTGAGTGAGGGAAGCTTCATCTGCTGCTCCCCATCGATAGCATTACCGCCTGAACCATCCCCCCATTGCTCGCATTACCGCCCAAATCATCCCCACCCCCGTCCGTGGAAAAATTGTCTTCCACGAAACCGGTCCCTGGTGCCAATAAAGTTGGGGACCGCTGTCTTATAGGTACCATCAAATTTTCTTATGCTTGCTTTGTTTTTCTTAATCTAGGATACTTTCCTAGATGTGTTTATGTGGACTTGGAAATTACAGTTTTTAAAATTCATAATGTATTTAAATGATTTCAGTGCCCCCCTCCCCCACCCCAGCAATACTGGCATAAACCACATCTGGTTCTCTCACAGCCACTTCCCCAGTGCACCCAATACGTGTTAAATGAATAAGCAAATCCCTGTGATGTGAGTTTGATCCCCAGTTTTACAGGAATGAACACTGAGGCTCAGAGAGGTTAAGTAACTTGCCCAGGGTCACACAGCTTGGTAACTGCAGAGCGAGGATTCAAGCCCTTGTCTGTGTGACTCCCAGATTTGTGCTCTTATCTCCTGAGCACTCAGCTGCCTCATGTGCAGTAGGAGATCCTGTGCATTTGCCCCAAGAATGAAGTCATCTTAACCTTACGCTGGAACATAGAAGCTTGGCTGTTGGAAGTGGTCAGTCCTTGGATGTATGCCATCTAAGGAGCATTGCCCCGCCCAGTCCCTTGATGAGGGGTACAGAGATCCTGGAGGCCAGCGGCAATTGACTCAAGTGACCCAGGCTTACTGGGTGGGCCGGGGCAGGGATGGGGGTGGCCGACGGCAGCCATAGGCAGCTGCCTACCCTGTTGGCGTGTCCACAGCTTCGTTGGCCACTTCAAGCCCCGACGGGAGCGGGATGCAGAGCTGGGAGCTCGGGCCATGGAGTTCACCAATATCTACGTGAAGAACCTCCACGTGGACGTGGATGAGCAGTGCCTGCAGGACCTCTTCTCCCAGTTTGGTGGGCGTGTTCCCCAAGGGAGTTGGGGATCACTTCTCTTCTACTCCCAGCTTGGGCTGGGACGGGGGTGGCCCCTGGGGCTTCCTGAAGACTTGGGAGAAGGGAGGGGCCGTCTCAGGGCTGCCCGACTCCCCTTTGAGACAGGTTGCCCTTCCTAGGGAAGACACTGAGTGTCAAGGTGATGAGGGATGATGGCGGCCACTCCCGCGGCTTTGGCTTTGTCAACTTTGAGACGCATGAGGAAGCCCAGAAGGTAGGAACCTCCCCATGGCCCTGTCTCTTGGAGGAGGTGCGGAGCCAGAACTAGGAAGAAGGGAGGTCAGGAGCAGAGGGCTCCAGCTGCCTGTGGAGGAAATAGTCCCTCCCCAGCATGGGTCCACACAAGCCAGGGCCCTTCCTGCCTGGGGTGAAGGCAGATGCCTTCAGCCTCCTCCGGTTGCTTCCATACCCTGAGGCTGGCTGGCTTTTCATAGAATCTTGCAGCATGGGAGCTACTAGGGGCCTTTGAGACAGCCATTACCCTCTTCTTGAATTGATCGTGAGATTGAGGCCAGGGAGGGGAAGTGCCATGTTATTTCTTGCTTCCAAGACTTTGAAAATATTGTTTTCTCAAAACACTTCCCCTCCCCTACTCTTTAGACCTATGCTGTCCAATAGAAATATAACATGAGCCGCATGTGCAGTTCAAAATTGTCCAGTAGCCACATTAAAAAGGGTTAAAAAAACCCTGCAACTTTAATAATATATTTTATTTAACTTATTCAAATTATCACTTCAATGTGATATGATATTGATATAATTGATGGTGATGTAATATTTACATTGATAAAAATTGAGATTTTACAGTCCCTTTTTTGTACTACGTCTTTGAAATCTGGTACCTCTAGTCCATGTCAGTTCAGACTAGCCATTTTTCCAGTATTCAGTAGCTGCGTGCAACAAGTGGTTGCCCTGTTGGACAGCGTAGCTGTGGATTATTGATGGGTCTCAGCTTATACTTTTCCCTCCTTTAGGAAGCCACCTCTTCCTGTCCTCAGTGCTTCTGACAAGGTGCCCCTCCTGTCTGTCTCCATCATTAGCTCAGATCTCCACGGATAGAACTGAGGGCAGGGGCTGGGTCTCATGTCACCATTAAATCTCTAGCATTTCACTGCTGGTAGGTACCAGATACATATCTACTGAGCAAGGGAATGGTACTAGGTCACAGCGTGAGTAACAAAGCAGGGATAATGTCCGATTTTGCCTCCCACCATGAAGCTCTTTCCGTAGCTCCTGCCCCATTAAGATCACTGGTCATGGGAGAGCTCAGCTCATAGTGGATTCTGGATGGAGACCTGGATCCTGGGGCCACCTTGATAGCAGCCACTTCTCACTGAGCACTTACCACAGGCAAGGTGCTACCTGATTTTGCAGACACTGTCCTGTCTCTTCCCACCAGTGTGGGCTCTACTGTGGTTATCAGGTTCCACCAGGTTGTAGCTAGGAGGAGAGAGCACTGGGATTAGAACCAACTCTTTCTGGCCCTGAAGTTTTGTTCTTAAGTAAAGGGCTCCTTTGAAAGGTAACTTCTTGTGTCTCCTTGGACATGTCCCACCCTCTCTGTAGACTTTGGTTTCCCCAACTATAAAATGACAAGTTGGAGTAGAGCAGTGAAGCTGGCAGGGGAAACCATAGACTCCAAGGTCTTGGAGACTTTGGTAATGACCTGTTTTGGGGGGTTTTTTTAAAGATTTATTTTTTATTTATTTATTTATTTTATGCTGCGTCGGGTCTTAGTTGTGGCACACAGGATCTTCGTTGAGGCATGCGGGATCTTTCGTTGCAGCACGTAGGCCCTTTGTTGTGGCGCACGGGGTCTAGAGTGTGTGGGCTCTGTAGTTTGTGGCACGCGGGCTCTAGTTGAGGCGTGCCGGCTCAGTAGTTGTGGCGCACGGGCTTAGCTGCCCCACTGGCATGTGGTGTCTTAATTCCCTGACCAGGGATCTAGCCCACGTTCCCTGCATTGTAAGGGGGATTCTTTACCACTGGACCACCAGGGAAGTTCCCTGCTAATGACTTTTAAGACTGCTATGGATCAGGCAGTTCTTGGGCCCCCAGAGTGTTTTTACATATATTTACATATGTTTGCGTGTCTAGGTAGGGAAGCAAGTCATTATGTGAAAATATTTACTAATGAACTGACCACTTAAAAAGTCAGTTCTCTTTCAAATATTTCTCCTCCCTAACACAAATGTCTAATCCAAACCTTTGAGTCAGTACTTACATGGGTCTGATTTTTGCAGATAAGTCAATGCCGATTCAGTTCATTATTAGTGGATTGCAGAGAGACATTGCACGTCTGTTTTTTTTTTTTTATGTGACACCAGGTTGGGTCACCGCCCCTGAACAAATTTAGTAACAATTTCTCTCTCCCTCCCTTTTTTTTTTTTTATAATTTATCTTTATTTTTATAGTGGAGTATAGCTGATTTACAATGTTATGTTTCTTTCTGGTGTATAGCAACTTGATTCACTTACACAGAGACATCTATATCTACATATTCTTTTTCAGATTCTTACCAGTCTTATACATTCTTTTTCGGTGATTACAGTGTGTTGAGTCAAGTTCTATGTGCTATACAGTAGGTCCTTGTGGATTAAGACATTGCACGTCTTGCAGAAGATGTAGGAATTCATGCAATCAAAGCCACTGACGGTTTGGGGTGTGGCGGGCTTAGGCCAGTTAACTGAAGAAAAGAAAAATCAAGGGTTAAGAAGCAAATGTTTCTAAAGTCCTCATAGCAAAAACGGTTCTCTGTGCTGTGAAACCCAACATGAAGGATGTTGATTACGCCATCACGCCCTTTGGAAAGAATTACGCTTGTTGCTTTGCTCTAATCGTCAGTGTGTAGTTACAGCTAGAACCTAAATGTTAAATCATGGGAAACTTTGCAAATTTCAATTTCACTTTTTCAAGTAGAGCCCAAATCCATTTTTTAAAATTCTATAGTTTACTCTGAAATTCTGTCCCATGTTTTTAAAAAATGGATTCACTTTAAATGGCCTGGATTCTGGTACTAATTATTCTCAGCCAACAAGGCCAGCCTGGCTTGCAGGTGGCCCCGTCTGGGCCCAGAAGAGGGGACTGGAGGACAGGGCTAAGGCCAAGGCCTCATGGGGGTGGTTACCAAGCCCTCTGGCTGCCTCTTCTCTGCACAGGCTGTGATGGACATGAACGGGAGGGAGGTGAGTGGACGGCTGCTCTACGTAGGCCGGGCCCAGAAGCGGGTGGAGCGGCAGAATGAGCTGAAGCGCAGGTTCGAGCAGATGAAGCAGGACCGGCTGACCCGTTACCAGGTGAGGGACAGGCTTCCTGTGGGGCAGCTGCTTCGATGTGAAAGTGTCTGTGTGTGGGCAACCCTGAATGCGACTCCCTCCTCCAGCAATCCCGCTTCTGAGAACTTGGCTTTAGAGATGCGGGAAGTGGGGAGGGGCTGCACCTTCCAGGTGATGGACTCGCTGAGTGATGGGTGAGGTGCAGGGGTGCTGCATGAGACTGAGAACTGGAGGCTTGGTGGGCGGGGCTTCCAGTGCCCCTTTGGCCCATGTAATCCCCTCCCCCCACCCCAAGTCATTCTGGGGCTTGGAGGGGAAGGGGCACATCTAGCAGATATCCTTTCCTTCTAGGGTGTGAACCTGTATGTGAAGAACTTGGATGACTCCATCGATGATGAGAAACTGAGGAAAGAGTTCTCTCCCTATGGAGTGATCACCAGTGCCAAGGTGAGGGCCGGGGGCACCCACAGGGGATCGGTAGCCTTCCCCTCCCATCCTCACTGCCCATGCACACCCCCATCCCCGCCCCGGGGCTTCCAGGGATTTGGTGCTGCGCTGCTCCTTCTGGAGTTTGGGAGCTGGGTCTGACCCCATTGGAGTTTGTCGTCCATCTGCAGCCTTGTCTGGGCTGGAGGGGAAGAGGGTAGAAATACAGTCCCAGTCACACAGCTGGACTTGCTGGGGCTCACTGTAACCGAGGTTCATTCAACAAGCATTTATTGAGTGCCTACTGTATGCCAGATTACAGAAATTTGGGTCTCAGAATTTCCATTGACTTTTGTTGTCTGGCCTTGGCTGGTGACATAACGCCTTTCCGGGCCTCAGTTTCCCCATTTGGAAAATGAGAGGCTTGGGCTGCATCATTCTTCACTCATTCTTCCCCATGTATTGAACAGCTACCGTGTGCCCTCCTAGCACCAGAGATGTGATGTTGGCTCTGTGACCTTGAGCAGATGTCTTCCGAGCCTCATCTATAAGATGAGGGTGGGCGGTGGGCTCCCTGGATGTTTCTGAACCCTGGCTTCTCATTAAAATACCGTGGAGAGCTCTTAAATAGACACCTGAGTCAGAGAAACTGAATGTAGAGCTCTGGGCATCTTAATTTTAAAAGCTCCCCACGTAATTTTAAGAAGACCTAGTGTTCGTTCATTCCATACTTGAGCACCTGCTGTTTTGCCAGGCCCTGTGGGAAGCACACAGGAATAAGTCAGACGTAGTCCTTGCCCTTGAGTAACTTAAAGTCTAGTGGGGAAGTCGGATGCATCACTAACTCAAATCTACTGTAGGGTGGGGTGGGGTTGGGGTAAGTGGAGGAGGCGGAGCTGCGGGAGCTCAGCAGAACAGGAAGGAGGGCTTCCTGTAAGAAGTGGCAGTGGCAGCAGCGTTTGACTTGACTGTGAGGAGGTAGGGAGCTGCGGGTGGGAATGAAGGACTTTCCAAAGAGGTCAGTGTGGGTGACGGGGCTGAGGACCTGCACGTGTGGTGTGATGGTTGGGCTCTTAGGACGTGGTCTAGAAGTTCTTTTGCCTGTTGAATTCAATTTAAAATGTCCTTCAGGGAGCCTGGTATTTGGGGAAGAGGTTCTAATAATTTCTGAGTTAAGGACGTTTTCCCCAAAAAAGTGACAGAAAGCTGTGGGACATGTGAATTAAGCATCAGGAAATCTGATTAAATTTATCAATCAGTAATTGATAAATCTGATTTATAAAAAGCTCTGGGTCCTCTTTCCTGGCAAATGCATACTTGGTGTAGTATTATGGTTGGAAGCTGGGATTTTAAAGTTAATCAGAAGTAGGTCTAAATCCCAGTCCTACCATTAACTACCTGTAGAGCCTGAAGGAAGTGACATTGCCATTTGGACCCTTTTTACCCATCTGTAAAATGGGAGCAACATGATCTACTTCTAGAGGTGTCCTGAGAACTAAAAGGCCTGCAAGTGGAGCACCTGCCCATGATAAGTAGTGAAATAATGATCTAGTTGCTCACAGACCTTGCGTATAATTTCGGGAGATTCACTGGCCTCCTTGAGGACCCCTTGGATGAAGGGATTTGTACAAAATCTGGATTGCTTAAAGTTGACGCACAGTGGGTGGACCGTCTTGTTATAAAATGGGAATTTGACATAAGTTTTAGGTACTTATAAAATTTAATATATTTTCTATTTTATAAAATAGTGATTGAAAATGAGATAACACTGTTGTAAGCACTTTGTAGAGATTAAGCTCATAGTAAGCTCTGCATGAGTATTTTTTATTATTTATTTTATTTATTTTCTATTTATTTAGGCTGCATTGGGTCTTAGTTGCGGCACGGGAGATCTTCACTGAGGCATGCAGGCTTCTTTCTAGTTGCGGCGTGGGGCTTTTTCTCTCTCTAGTTGTGGCGTGTGGGCTCCAGGGTGTGTGGACTCTGTAGGTTGTGGCACGCGGGCTCTCTTGTTGAGGCGCGGGCTCTCTAGTTGAGGCACGTGGGCTCAGTAGTTGTGGCATGTGGGCTTAGTTGCTCCGAGGCATGTGGCATCTTAGTTCCCTGATAGGGCTCGAAACTGTGTCCCCTGCATTGTAAGGTGGATTCTTTACCACTGGACCACCAGGGAAGTCCTTGCATAAGTATTAATTGTACTAATTTTATCTTCTTTAAAACTACCTAACAGAAGTTCTTATTAATTTGCTAAGACAGTATTTTTGTGCCAAGAAAATTTGGCTGTCTCGTAAAGCCTATGGACCCCTTCTGAGGATATGTTTAAATGCATAAAAGAAAACTCATAAGATTACAAAAAACAATTGGATTGAAATATATTTGTTACCCCGCTGCCGGGGTGAGCGCACGTGGGCGCCGAGCGCGGGGCCGCGCGCCCACCATGAACTCCAGCGGCCCGGGTTACCCGCTCGCCTCGCTCTACGCGGGCGACCTGCACCCCGACGTGACTGAGGCCATGCTCTACGAGAAGTTCTCGCCCGCTGGCCCCATCCTGTCCATCCGCGTGTGCCGCGACGTGGCCACCCGCCGCTCGCTGGGCTACGCCTACATCAACTTCCAGCAGCCGGCCGACGGTGAGCCCCTGGGGGAGGGGGGCGGACCGACCCACCTACAGACAGGCAGACAGCATCCCAGCCACCCGCGCGCGCTTTCATCTCTGGCTAATCCTGCAAAATCTTCCATTTTGCAGCCCGGGAAACTGAGGTCCAGAGATACAAGGCCTAGGAAGGGGCTCCGAAAGGCCCCGGAGACAGGAACTAGCAGTTAGTGTGCTCCTACTGTGTTTTACTGGTGCTCCGTTTTCCGGAAGAGCTGTTAAGACAGTGAAAACAGCCAAGGGCTTTGGGGTCAGCCAGACCTGGGATTAGAAAGCCGGCAGCTGTGCGGCTTTGAGCAAATGAATCATTCCGAGCTTCAGTTGCCTGTCTGCGAAATGGGGGAGGTACCTGCTTTATAGCGTGATCGGAGGATGAGCAATTGAAAGCACCCGGTGAGGAAGATGCCCGAGAACACACGGGTGATGAGCGGGGCAGCCGCGAGAGCTCAGCCTCGGGCTGTGGCCTTTCCCGGCAGCCGGAGCCGAGGTCTGCACCAGGCGCCTCCACCTTCGGGAACCGAGAAAAGCTGCCTGCGCTCCAGGCTCCACGACCCGTTTCTCGGAGCTGATAGGATTGATCAGAGCTTGTCAGCTAGATGTTGAGTGGAGAGGAGAGAGATTAGAGCGCAGGGTTTTGTTGGAGCTCTGCCACTAGGGTGCGAGCTTGAGCAAGATTTCAGGCTTGGCATCTCCATCTGTAAAGTGGGGCTAAGCCTTATTACCCAGTAGCATGGAAGGAATGGAGGGCTTTGTCTATGAAGTAGCTCCAGTATCACGTGGTACATCGTAAGCCCTCGGTAAGTGCTAACCCAAGAAAAATCATAATAACTATAGCGTTCAGGTGTAAGACTCCAGAAATATAACCAAAAAACCCCTGCCCCAGCCAAGTCCAAAAGGGGGTGCCTATACTCTGAGTCTCCTGGGAGGATGGGGAGGTTCCCTGATCTGGGAGTTTGCTGTGATGGTTCTGCCGGTTTCCCAGCAGGTGGCAGAGCTGGATTCCTGGGAGCCTTCCCCTCTGCTCTGCTTTACCCACCCACTGCCTCTTGCCATCTTCCTCCAAGCCCTGTGCAACCTGACCTTTTTGCCAGACTTCATAGATGGAGAAACTGAGCTCCAGACAGCAGAAGGATTTTACTCCTGGGTGTTTATGGCAGGACTAGGTGGAAAACCCAGACTTCTTGAAACTTGCCCCCTGAGTATTCCACAGTTCCCCTCCAAACCCTCTGAAACCAGAGGTGTCCCTGAAGCAGGGGACAGCATACCACCTTGCAGAAGGATGGGCATAGGCTGTTGTTTTTAGACATACTACTGTTTACCAGACACCTATTTTGTGCCAGGCACAAAGTACAAGGCGCCTTGCACACCTTATTTAATTTTCAGTCTGTCTGACAACCTGGAGGCAGGTGGTATTCTCTCCCTTTGTTAGATTTAGAAAGGTGGGTAATATTATCATCACCCCCTCTTTACAGGTATAGAAGTGAGCTCAGGGAGGTGATGTTCACTTCCCCGAAAGTCATACTTCCTTGGGATCAAATCTCAACTCTGCTGCTCAGCACCTCTGGGCTTCAGTTTCCTCAAACTGCTGCCACCCTTGTCATAGGGACCCTCCTGATCTTTCCCCTTTCTGAGCCTCAGTTTGCCCTTCTGTAAAATGGGGATAGGAATTCCTGCTCACGTCATTATGGTGAAGAGTTGAAGGAGATCCTACCTGGAAGGTGGGAGGAGCACCACACACATGAATTCTTTCTGTTTATCCCTCCTGAGCCTTCAAGCTCTTATCCCAAGTGAGACCCAGACAGTGGCTCTTTTCTTTTTTTCTTTTTTGGCTCAGTTCCCAACTACACTCCTTGGGGCTCAGGGAAAGAAAATCCCCTTCACTAGCTCCTTTCTCTCCTCTTGTCCAGCGGAGCGGGCACTGGACACAATGAACTTTGAGGTGATCAAAGGCCAGCCCATCCGCATCATGTGGTCCCAACGAGACCCAGGACTTCGCAAGTCAGGTGTCGGCAACATCTTCATCAAGAACCTGGAAGACTCCATTGACAACAAGGCCTTGTATGACACCTTCTCCACCTTTGGGAACATCCTCTCTTGCAAGGTGGGTGTGCCTCTTGGGGGGGGGGCGGTTCTGTGTTAGACACCTGTGTGGTGGTAGAGGGATACCAAGCAGCACCTCATCGGTAAAGATCCAGGTTCAGCAAGCACCTGAATGGTAGTTGCTCTCAGTTTTAGCGGTCACCTAAACTGGCTCTTGCTGTGTAACCACCTCCTAACTTCGTGGCTGTCAACAGCTGTGATTTATTCCGCTCGTAATTCAGCCGTTGGCGGTTGGGACTGAGCTCGGCCGAGCAGTTCTTCTGCTCTTGGCTGGGTTCCTTTGTTTGCCCACTGAGGGCTGGATGGCTCTGCTTCTAGGGAGTGGGTGGTTGTCAGCTGGACGGTCTCGGCTTTCCTCCCTGTGGGCTTTCATCCTCCAGCAGGCTAGCCCAGGCTATTCTCATGGCAGTAG